ATATATATGTATATATATATATATATATATATAATACCAAATCAGCACAAAAATATAGTTATCCTAGGTTAAACAGGTGACGTAATAAAAATGGGACAAAAAACAGTGGTCTGAAAAGGTTAGAAAAGAATTTAACTCACCCGGTCCTCATCCAAAACAGGGCACTGATACTCTTCATCATACCCATCATAATATTGGCCTGGGGAAAGATTTAGAAAGTCTTTCACTCATAAATAAATTGGTAAAGGATGGTGCTGACAACTTTTGCTTTAATTAAAAATACTTATGCCAGACACTGTCATTGGACCATTTTATAACATGCATTATTTCAGTTTAGTTTTCATTTCACAACAAATTACATCTTAAAGCACTTACAAAATTGATTCAATCAAATCATTTCAGAGATTCCAAGTTAAGTAAATAGACTGTAAATTGATTATAATTTTTAATGTAGTCGAGATCAGTTCATTATTCAAATCGGTGAAAAAATAAAATGGTATTGTTACGTCCACCACAGTTGAACGAGGGAGGAAGGGATAACATGATGACCACAATAAAATAAGCCTTTATAAATCAATCAATCAATTAATTTTATTTATAAAAAACCCTTATTATTAAAAGCAGCTCAAAGTGCTGTACAGATCAATAAAAAACAAACTACCCACCCCAACCCCACATGGAAAAACACACAACTGCATGAAAAATGCACAGACTTAGCAGAAATGATTCAATTCAGGAAATACAGTAAAAAAGAGGGTCTTGAGCTGCTCTTAAAGACAGCAACATTTTCTGCAGCCCTCAGGTTCTCTGGCAGACCGTTCCACAAACGGGGTCCATAATACTGGAAAGAAGCCTCACCACAAGTGTGAGTTCTGACTCTTGGAACCAGGGGCGCCATATGTGGGGAAAGTTAGGACAATTCCAAGGGCCTCTGGCCGACAGGGGGCCCTCCCACAAATTTTTTTTCTTATAGAAATAGAAAAAAATTGGGGGCCCTGTCAATTACAAAATTAATTATATAGTGTTTTTAAATTGTTTTATCAGTAAAAATTAAATGTTACCACTCCCATACCAAAGAGCACACATTCATATTTGACCTGAACCCCCTCTGGATCTACATGAAGTGTATATATATATATATATATATATATATATACACACACACACACAGTGGGGAGAACAAGTATTTGATACACTGTTGATTTTTCAGGTTTTCCCACTTGCAAAGCTTGTAGAAGACTGTAATTTTTATCATAGGTACTCTTCAACTGTGAGTGATGGAATCTAAAACAAAAATCCAGAAAAATACAATGTATGATTTTTAAAATTAATTTCCATTTTATTGTGTGAAATAAGTATTTGATCATCTATCAACCAGTAAGAATTTTGGCTCTCACCGACATGTTAGTTCTTCTTTAAGAAGCCCTCCTGTTCTCCACTCATTACCTGTATTAACTGCACCTGTTTGAACTCGTTACCTTTATAAAAGACACCTGTCCACACACTCAATCAATCAGACTCCAGCATCTCCACAATGCCCAAGACCAGAGAGCTGTGTAAGGACATCAGGGATAAAATTGTAGATCTGCACAAGGCTGGGATGGACTACAGGACAATAGGCAAGCAGCTTGGTGAGAAGGCAACAACAGTTGGTGCAATTATTAGAAAATGGAAGAAATACAAAATAACGGAAAATCTCCCTCGGTCTGGGGCGCCATGCAAGATCTCACCTCGTGGAGCATCATTGATCTTGAGGAAGGTGAGGAATGAGC